TGTTTCTACACAGTCTTGAGGGCGGAGGGTGCTAGGATAGTGTTCAGATTATGTTGGAGTGACAGGAATAACCCCAGCTTTGCTTGAAGGGATATGAGAGTGCACATTTTCGATTTTTCTGGTATCTTGTGAAGTGTTGTAGGTATATCTTTGGAACAAATGAACGTGTGGAGACGCTAAATAGCGCGTTTTGTAGCCTTTGATAACCTATATCTGAACGCATAATGTTTTGGAAGGATAGATACATGTGTGGCATAGAGATTTGAGTGCGCTTTTTCGGTTTTTTAGCATATAAACATAAAAAGGCCCATTGCATAACCAATAATGCATGCAAGGCCATTATTATTGGCTCGTTCTGAAGCTATAGTAGCATACTAGATTATCGGCTAGTTTTTATGAAGCAGGGATGCATGAGAGGCAGAGCATTAGGTGCACATTTTCGCATTTTTGTGCATAGAAGCACAATTTAGGCCATAACATCGCCAAAAATGGTCTTATTCACACGTTCTGGGTGTCTACAGGTAGCTATGAATTCCCTCAAAATTATCGCGTCATTTTTCCCATCAATTTTCACCCAGGGGGAAGCCAAACGAGCCCGAAATGCGCCAGCAATGGCTATTTTGATGCCAGATCCCAATTTAGCAGCTTGTGCTAAAAATAAATGCGCGCCAAGTTAAGGTGACACCTCATACGCGCCGTTTCGCAACATTCCACATCCCAGATTCTCCTGATTTTTTTATGACATACTATCACATTGGCCCTGGGCACTTTTTTCACAAAAAACAGCCCTGGTTGAGGCTGCAGAGCAAACAGGTCACATGACCAGTTCTCTGCAGTGCCCCGGGGTCCTGCTTGGCCTATCCCGCCCCCTTTCCACCCCCTCCTGCACCTCCCACCACCCGCCCACCCCGGAAATGGATGCTTACTAATTTATTTACCCCCTCCTCATCACCCTTGCAGATGCTGGGCACCCGGCAACCCCTCCCTCTTATTAGGAGAGCCTTCCCAAAGCAGAATGTAGCATATTGCCCTCCAGGGCTTAGATTCATAGTTAGGAAACTGCCTTGTATTCTATATTTTTCTAGCTTACATGGCTGGAGGGCATACAAGGAGGGCGGC